AATCACAGTACCCAAAAATTTCAAGACAGACATTGTTTTTAATTGTGCATGATATATTACTAACATGAAATTTATGCTGGTCATAAATCAAGAGAAAATTAATTTCAAATAATTGGAATTATTTGGAGAAAGTTGTCCAAATTAGTAGAAATAAGTCAGAAAAGATGATAAAATGTAAGTAGAACATACTTCTTCAAAATATTTTCAAGGGGTTAATTTAAGAGTGATTATATGCTAAGTGGGAAGGAGAACCCATTCTCAACCATGACAAGAGTTGAGTTATGACTTCTCATGTTATACACACACACACACACACACACACATATATGTTTATGTATATATATATTTATTGTTGTTGCTATGTGCTGTCGAGTTGTTCCCAACTCATAGTGACCCTGTTTTCCAGTGCAGGCATCTTACTCTCAATCAATATGCTATTGCTTTTTTTTTTCCCTCTTCTTATTTGAATATTTAATTAAATATTTGGTCATATTAAGGTATAAACAACAAAAAGCAGGTTAATAAACCCTCAGAAACTCTCAAGCCATCTACCACATTCAACCCAGGTATGGTACTGGTGTTTGTGCCGCATGTTATCCCCCCCGTAGGTGATACTGTTTATAAATCTGAATCATTAGTCAAAATTTAAAAAATAAGTCAGGTTTCATAAAAATTGCTGAGTTTTGTTGTGGGGATTGAGTGCCTTTCAAACATTTAGTTGTGGCAACTCATCTTCAGTTATCCGGTCCAGTTTTTTAGTTTGGTAATATGTAGAATCAACATATTGTCACATGTAAATTTTAGATCTTCCTTTTGCAGACCAAGCAAATTGTTTTCTTGAAATTGCCATTTAGCATGAAGCTAATAAGCCTAGGGCTTTGACTTTGACAAAGTTTCTTGAGGAGGAACCGGACACTCAAAACCCATTACATAGAATATGAATATTCACATCATCAATTGAGATATTGTCTATTTATTAACCATACAATATTTCTGATATGTTTACTCAATGAAGGGAGCTCTAGTGACGTATTGCCTAGGCATTTGACTGCTAACCAGAAGACTGGTGGTTCAAATCCACAAGCCACTTTTCTGAAGGAAGGTTGGGCAATCTACTTCTTAGTGATACTGCCTCGGAAACCAAAGGCAGGGTTGCCATGAGTCAGATCTGTCTTGACGGCAGTGCGTTGCATTGCATATTTACTCAACAAAGATTGGGATTCATTTATATATAGGAAAATTGCATATACTTCCCTAAAGAAGGATAGCATGACTTCCTCACTGAAATGTGCTTACATACAACATTGAAGAATAATTCCACATGAAACATTTTCATTATATTTTCCTCTGTACATTTTTATTTTAATTTTGAAATTGGGAGAAATACTGTAACTTTCCTTGTTGTTGTTGTTATGTGCCGTCGAGTCGGACGCGACTCATAGCGACCCCTCCTCCTTGGGTTTCCGAGGCAGTATCACTACGGAAGTAGATTGCCCCATCTTCCTTCCGAGGAGTTGCTGGTGGATTTGAACTGCCAGCCCCCTGGTTAGCAGTCAATTGCCTTTAGCCACTATGCTACCAGAGCTCCCGTAACTTTCCTAATGGACATAATTAAGTAGATATCCCCATATTTGCTTTTATTATTAATAATTCATTCTTTTTGTCCCATAAAATGATTTATAATAAAATAATTAAATTTATAAGTATTCTTAGAAATGCTTTTATGATATATTTGTATGATACTACTTGCTCTTAAGAAGTTTGAAGTTGAAGATAAAGAAAATTCAATTCTATGAGTCAAATTACCAACTGAATTTAGAAACCATCTTAAGAATAAATTTGATGCATTCAAGAAAAATGATGGGAAGAGCAGATGAGTTGTGGGATGGCATCAAAGGTATCATACACAAAAAAGCAAAAGATCATTAAAAATACAGAAAAGAAATAAAGAGAAAAGTGGAAGTGAGAATAGAATCTGAAACTTTTTCCTAAGCATATAGTAACTAAAGCAGCCAGAAATACTGACAAAGTTTAAGAGCTGGACATATTTCAAAGGATACCTGAAGAAGACAAAGTAAAGAAATATAATAAGATGTGCAAAAAACCTGGATTGAGAAATCCAAAAGGGAAAAACAATCTCAGTATTTCTCAACTTGAAAAAATTAGAGAACAATTTTAATCCTCAGATGCTATATTGAAGGATTTTATGGGCAAAATCAAAAGATGATGGAATGAAGACACAGTATCTCCATATCAAAAAGTACTGCTTGACATTCAACCATTTCAAGAAGTACCATGTGATCAAGACATGATGGTTTTGAGGGAAGAAGTCCAAGTTGCACTAAAGGCATTGGCACAAAATCAAGGCACCAGGAATTGACTGAATATCAACTGAGGCATTTCAATAAACTGATAGAATGCTAGTAACTCTCACTTGTCTATGCCATAGAATTTGGAAGACAGCCATGTGGCCAAAAAATAACAATTGACCCATATTGTGCCCACTACAAAGGAAGGTGATGTAGTAGAATGCTGAAATCATCAATCAATATCCTTAATATCACATGAAAGTAAAATTTTACTGAAGATGATTAAAAAATGGTGACAGCAGTTACTAGATGGAGAACAGCCAGACATTCAAGGTGGATTCGGAAGTGGATATGGAATGGGAAATACATTAGATGGATCTTGGCTGAAAGCAAAGAATACCAGAATATATTTACCTGCGTTTTACTGACTATGCACAAGTATTTGTCTACATGGATCATAACAAATTATGAATAACATTGCAAAGATTGGGAATTCCAGAACACTTAATTGTGCTCATGCAGCACCTATATATAGACAAAGAGATAATCACTCAAATAGAACAAGGGGAGATTGCATGTTTTAAAATCAAGAAAGGTGTACATCAAGGTCGGATCCTTTCACTATGTCCTCTAATCTGTTTGCTGAGCAAATAATCCAAGAAGCTGCACTATATGAAGAAGAACATGGAATCAGGATTGGAGTAAGATTCATTAACAACCTGTTATATGGAGATACGCAACTTTGCTTGCTGAAATCAAAAAAGGCTTGAATTACTTACTGATGAAAATCTAAGATTACAGACTACAAAATGGATTATACCTCACCATAAAGAAAGAAAAATTCTCATAACCGGATTTATAAGTTATATGATTATAAACAGAAAATTTGAAATTGTCAAGGATTTCAGTTTACTTGGATCAATCATCAGTGCCTATGGAACCACTAGACAAGCTTCAAATGACATATTAAATCGGACAATTACAGTGAAATTAAAATTACCTTGAAAAGACTAAATTCTAATATCACCTTCTAAGAGACTAGGACACTTACATACTCTAAGCTGTGGGAGTGGTGTTTTACAGAGTCATCTTCCACAAGTTTGGCCTCCCTCATTTCCATATGCATTGTAGCAAAATACTCTCTTTTATTGCAGATGAATAATCTTCTCCATTTCATATTTATAGGTGATTTTATTGTGCAGCTATGGCATTAAGATCATTATAGTGTGTGTTTTGGATACTAGAAGTTGAAAGCTTAAACATTGTAAACTTAATTAATTCCCAAGAAGGATAATTGACTTCCACTTTAAACCATGGGAAGAAATTAGTTATATACAGCATTGTCGGTGAACTGGGGAGGTTAGGTCCAATGTGCTACCCAGTGTTTAATAAATCAAAGGAAGCTATGCAAAGTTATTAAAAAAAAAATCTACTTAACCTAAACTTTTTTCCCTCTCAGTTGTAACATCCACATTTCTTGTTTCTCTCTTCTTGTCAGCAAATATCAAGGCCCCACATTCCCTGAAATATGCTTCATTTGCTGAGATTTTTATCCACAAAAAGCTTATACATACAAATGAGGACATCTAGAAAATACATATTTTTTGTTTGTTTCTATTCTTTTTTTTTAATTGTGATTTGAATGGAAGTTTGCAGAAGAAACTCATTTCCCATACAGCAGTTCATGCACATTTTATTTCATTACATTGATTCCAACCTCTGTAATGTAACAGCTCTCTTCCCACTTCCACCTTGTGGTAATATTTTCCTTGTGAAAACACCTGTTTTAAAGAAGGAAAATGGCTAAAGCTCAAAGAAATTGGTTCAAAACCAACCTTTCTTAGTTTTTCAAAGTTTATTCCTAGAAGAATAGTAAAATTTTGCATTGTTTTTCTTATAGCTAGTTTCCATTGACTCTCCCTGTATCATGGGGACCCCATGCACAAAAGAATAAAACACTGACCATCCCTGCCTCATTCTCACAATCAGTTGAGGATAAGACTACTTTGATCCCTAGGGTTTCCACTGACTGATTCTGGAAGCAGATCACCAGGCCTTTCTTCCTACTTTGCCATAGTGTGGCCTCTCCTCTGAAACCGATTCAGCATCATAGCAACACAGAGGCTCCAGTAAGAAGTGGATGATAATTGCACATGGGGTGCAATGTCCATGAACGACATCTCCCACATGGAAAGTACGAATTCTACCACTGAACCACCACTACCTTCAAAACAAAATGCTTTGTTTTGAAAAGAAAAAAAAAAAATGATAATAACAGCACATTTAGATGCTAGAATGAATGAATTTATTTTATGATATACACTTTTTTTCTCTATGGTGAAAATAAATGCATTGACAGTAATTCTATTTATTCATCCATTAATTCATTAACATTCATATATTAATTCAATGTCATTAATATGAATTCCACTAATTTATCTATTACCTCATTCAATTAATGAAATAATTATGTTAATTAATACAATGGATTAAATCATTAAATTTAGTACAGGTTAGAAGCAATTTTATGATGATTACTTGCAGCTGGATAAATAGTAAAGAGAGGATGATCATAGAATATGAGCACAGTTGGTACTGAAAATAATGAAGATGATAGAAGATCTAATTAGAGAATAAAACATATTGAATAAAAGATCTGGGAACTCAACAAGTTAGTGCATAAAAGGCAGATCAGCAAGTTGGTGTGTAACAAGATGAATGGCAACTCCTAGAAGGAAAGTAAGTTGGGTTGCAGAATCCAGAGTCACAACCAAAGGAAGGGAAACCACAGATGCCATAACTCAGGGGCCTGAAGCGATTGGATCCAGAGCTGAGGGAGCAGTGGCTTCTGGATCCATAGCCTAGAGAGCAGCTGCTTCTGGAGCCAAAGCCCAGAGACCCAGTGTAAGTCGTCAGGCACGGACTGCAGAGTCTGGATGTCCTTGGGCGGTACCAGGATGTCTGGCAGGGAATGGACACCATCTGGGACTTCTGGCAGCAGCTGGGCTCACAACAGGTCTCCGGACAGCCCCTGTAGTGAGAAGAGGCCAGCTGACAAGTGCTGGGAGAGCAGAAGTCAGTGCTGTAAACCAGGTTCCTTGGGAAGGAAGAGCCACAGGAAGGGACTTGGTAGCACAGGTAGCCACCAAGTGAGCGGGAGGAGAAGTTTCTAGAGCAGCAGTTATAGGACATGTTGATAGACGATATGAGTTCAACTGAATTACAGTGAAAAGACTGAATTCTAATGTCACCTTCTAGAGATTGGGACACTTATATATTTCCAGCTGTGGGAGTGGTGTTTTACAGAGTCATCTTCCACACATTTATCCTCCCTCATTTCCATATGCGTTGTAGCAAAATATTCCCTGTAATTGCATATGAATAATCTTTTCCATTTCATATTTATAGGTGATTTTCTTGTGCAGTTATGGCATTAAGACCATGACTGACTCCAGTGTCAGAAATGCTATGAGTGTTACCTCTTAATGACAACCCATCATGGTGAGAAAAGCATCTACTCTCCTGTCATTTCCATTTACATTAGTGTTAGTTGGGGGATGCTTAGGTGTAAGAGTGGAGATTAAGAAGTTATCTTTTTTTTTTTTTTTTTTAATTAGAGACACACTGTGTTATTGCTGAAGGACTGAAGGACCTAGAGTCTGATCCTCTTTCATAACGTTGACTTTCATTCACTATTTTTTTTTTATAGTATAGTCTATTTTACATTACTTCTCACATCTAATGGAAATGGGAAAATACAGGTACAAGCAATAGAATGAGAAACATAGGGAAACCCAGAAATAAACCTGGACAAGTGTTGAAGTGTTTGGAGTCAAAATAAATTTAAAAAATTATTTTTAGTTTGTTTTTATTGTTATAACTTAACTTGTTGTTGTGACTTGAGTGAAAATTTACACATCGAATTAGTTTTTCATTCAACAATGAATATGTATTTTGTTTTGCGACATTCACTATAATTCCCACAGTGTGAATGTAACAACTTTTCCCACTGGCTCCCTGTGTTTCCCATTTTCATTTGTCCTTTTTTCCTGTCCCTTTTTGCCTTCTGGTCTTTATCCCTGGGAAAAATCTGCTTATTTGATTTCCTATGACTTG